GAGTAAGTGCTGTGGCGTCAGTCTAGCTCACAGCAACCTCAAACTCCTGGGCTCAAGCAATCCTGCTGCCTCAGCCTCCCGAGTAGCTGGGACTACAGGCATGTGCCACCATGCCCGGCTAATTTATTCTATATATATATGAGGTGGCCAATTAATTTCTTTCTATTTATAGTAGAGATGGGGTCTCGCTCTTGCTCTGGCTGGTTTTGAACTCCTGACCTCAAGTAATTCGCCCGCCTCGGCCTCCCAGAGTGCTAGGATTACAGGCATGAGCCACTGCGCCCGGCCTTAAAATTTCTTTAATATGTTAAGACACCAAATTAATTTCCATGATGAGGAATTTCATGCTGAAACATTTTGGAACTGGTTACAACAAATAGATTAGAAGGCTTTGATGGGTCTGTTTATCAGAAGATTTAAGGAATTACATAAGTAATCTGTGTGCCCATCATATTCAGGGCTGTTGATGTATTTGAGGCTGAAATTAACTTCTTCCTCCGTGTAGGAAAAAAAAAAGTTTTCTGGAGTTACTGATTTTGAGGTAAATCAAGTAAATGCACTGGGATCTTCAGATTCCTGATTCAGGTAATTATATGGGTAGATTAATTCAGTGTTGGTTAAAGGATGAAAAAGATTCAGAGGACTCTAGGTGAAAACAGCTGACTTCCCAGTATGGAATCATCTTATATTCCTGATTACTACATGACAAATGCTGCTGGCAGTGACACAGTAGGTAAGTAAAAATAATCGATAAGCTAGATCTATATGACATGGTGTTGAGTACCAAGTTAGCAAATTCTGTGATTTAGAATATTGTATCAAAGCCGTGGATACAGCATGGTAGTCTGGGAAATGCCAGAGCCTTTACTCTTTAGATCTTCAGGGATCTGCAATTTAATGAGGGAAAAGAAAATCACAAATGATAATCTACAAATATAAATGGCAGAAACATATACCACCATGCAAAGTAACACAAATAGCTAGTAAATAATCTGGAATATAAGAGGACACTTTCAGTAGAATTTATAGATTATTCAGGCTGATTTGGGTAGTTTCCATTTTCTTTTTGCTGGTTATAGTATATCACTATTTCTTTAGCATTCCCATAATGGTAGGTGTGAAGAGAGAGGGAAAACTTTAATCAGTCCATTTTAACAGCTTTGTTAATCAGGTTGAGTAAGGAAAGAAGTTGAAGATAATAACTTAAATATTATATATTGAGTTTTCTGTACATTTTCATTTTCTCAAGTTATCCTCATTATTGTAAAAGTTGTATCTAGCCACATGGTAATGTGGAAAAACACATTGACTAGTTTAGCTTAGACTCCCATCTCTACCCCCATTATACAATAGAGATTTAGGTTTCATATATCTGCAAATTTTAGATTGATTTGACAAATTACTGGAATACTTGCTTTAAGTTGTCCCAATTTATAAAAACTTATCAATCAATTTAAATTTTATTAACATTAGACTCTTCTCAGCCCTTTCAAGGCAGCATTTGGCCTGTGACCTTACAAACATGAGGTGTAGATGTATAGGTTCAAATAACCATTGTATTTTCATCATAGTCCTCAGCTAGAATTCAGAGCCACCTTTCCTACTATAACATTCTTTTTTCTTAATTTCCTATTCTCATTTTTTCCTATTTGTCGGCATTTAAAAATAGTTTAGGGTGATGTAAAATAAAGTTGCCAGTGTGGGTTGCCCATTGTGAAGATGCAGTCATTTCATGGTAGTAGGGCTCTATCAGAACTCCACAGATCATTCTCTAAACAAGCCCTAAATAGGAGAGCCTAGAGCAGAGGTGTTTGCTCACTTGCACTATTTCTGACATGAAGTCTTTTGACATCTTTATGTCTTTTCTTTTTTTCAACATAACATGTGTTGTGTTTTTTTTTTCTTTGTTTCATGGCTGTTTTTTTCCTTGTCATTGATTTTGAGCAATTAGATTACAATGGATATTGCTCTAGTTAAAATAGTTTTTTTTTTTTTTTCCCTTTCTTTGGGGTTTATCAAGATTCTTGGATCTATACATTTTTGGTTATCTAATCTGGAAAAATTTTGGCCCATTACTACTTTAAATATTTTTCTTTCCTCACCTTATTTTAATTTATTTTATTTTATTTTTTAACCTTTACAGATTTCAACAACACTCAAATTAGGCCACTTGAAGTTGCCTATGGCTCACTGATATTTTGATCATATTTTAAAATTCTCCATTCTGTTTCATTTTGTATTTAATGCTTTGTCTTTACATCTACTAATCTAATCTTATGCACTGTCTAATCTCTCATTAATCTCAGTCAATGTATTTTTCATTACAGAAGTTATAGTTTATTTAATAGTACAGTCTTTAAATCAGGCTGCTAAGAGTCCAAGATTGGCTTTAGCATCTACTAGCTATGAGACCTTGGATAAATTATTTAACCTTTCTGAGATAGAGTTTCCTCATCTGTCAAATAGGGAAAATAGTAGTACCTACTTCATGGAATTGCTGTTGTTGAGAATTAAGTGAGAGAATCCATGCAAACCACTCAGAGCAGTACTTGTTCATGGTAAGAGTTGAATAGTTATAATCATTATTATATGATTAATAATGATAGTCATAAGAATATCAACTCTTTCCATTTATATAGACTTTTACAGTTTTCAAACAATCACCAAAGAGTATTTCATTTACATTTGGAGGTAGGGGATGAGGTTGTAAAAGAGAATGGTAATATATCAACTCCATTTACAGATATGAGAACTGAGATAAAGAGAAGTTATATGATTTGCCTGAGAGAACTCAGGAAGTAAATGGGGGAGCTGGGCCTTCAACTGTAATGATAACTGAAATCTAAGCTGCATTAGTGAAGTTAATATAGCCTACCTAGTGAATTTTCTTAAAATGCTTATCGCCCTCATCCAGCCAACTCTTCCTTAGTGTTTTTCCTGGAATTGGGAGCTATTTTTTCTCGCCAAGGATGAATGCTGAGTGATCTCTCCACATGTCTTTTCCAAATCAGGCCAGTCATGGAAATGTAGTCCTTTTTGATTCCAGCATAATAAAGTAATGTAAATACAAATTAGCACACTTTCTGATGTCTCTGAGCAGTCCCGGCTATTATTTCCAGTGGTGATCTATAAATTATTGTAAAAAATAAATCTATGTGTGGTGTTTGTTTTTCCATTCCTGAGATATATTACTTAGGATCATGTTCTCCAGTTCCATCTAAGTTGCTGCAAATGGCATTACTTCATTCCTTTTTATGGCTGAGTAGTACTCCAATATATATATGTGTGTGTGTGTGTGTGTGTGTGTGTGTGTGTGTGTGTGTGTGTATTCCCCCATATTTCCTCAATCCACAAATGAATTGATGGGCACTTAGGTTGATTCCACATCTTTGCAACTGTGAATTTTGAGACAGTAAACATTTGAGTACAGCTGTCTTTTTGATAAAATGACTTCTTTTCCTTTGGGTAGATACCCAGAGGTGGGATTGCTGGATAGAATGGTAGGTCTACTTTTCGTTCTTTGAGAAACCTCCATACCATTTTCCATAGAGCTGGTACTGTTTTGCAGTCCCACCAAGAGTGTATAAGCATTCCTTTCTGTCCACATCCACACCAGCATCTATCATTTTTTGACTTTTTAATAATGGTCATTCTGACAGGGGTAAGGTGATATCTCATTGTGGTTTTGATTTGCATTTCCTTGATGATTAGTGATGTTGAGCCTTTTATCATATGTTTATTGGCCATTTGTCTATCTTCTTTTGAAAAGCTTCTATTCATGTCTTTTTCCCACTTTTTAATGGGGTTGTTGAGAACCTTTTCTTGTTTTAAGTACAAAGCCCTTCTTAATGCAGTGCCCATCCATGATGTTACTACTAATTTTGCTATTATCGCTTTTTTATCTCATGCTTCTTATAAAAGTTTTATAACAAAGTTTCATAACGTTGAACTAACAGCTAGGTTAGCATTTGCTTCCTTCAGGTGGTTATTTTGAAGTAGTTCCACAATGTGAAATGCTTGAACAAAGACTGACCAAAGAATTACCTAGATAAATGGATTAGAAATGTAATCTTCATTAAAATGCAAATGTTGATTATTAATCAGTACAATAAAAACACCTATATTTTAGACCTTTTAAAACAGCCAGGGATTATTTTTTAAAAAGGGAAACAATTAGTGACCAGCAAGGGGAATTACATTGGGTTAGCAAAACAGGAATCGTCTTATGTCTAGAAGGTGAAGGTAAAATCAAGAGTAGCTGGAGTTGAGATGCAAAAAGATGAAAATGCCAGTAAGACTAAACATGTTTTGGGAAAGATTATAAGGCATGCTTGTTGCTTATCATAATTTCATTTGGAATGATCTTTTAACACAGTATACATTTTGAAAATATTCTCCAATTACTAAAATAATTACAGTGCAAAACTTCTGACATGATGCTACCATTAGAATACAGGTATAGACATTATTCCGAAATTTGTAAGCACTCTTTAAAAGTTTATTGCTTACATTTTTAAAATTCCAAGTGTCTAATAAAATCAATACAGAGAGGTCAGAAATTCAAAGTGGATTTAGGAAAAATTAAAATCCCCAGTGAGATTAACTGCCTGCAAAAGTAATCCAAGAGGTAGTTTGTTGAGTGGGTAATTCAATTTGGAAACACTCAGAGTGTGGTTGAGTCTCAGGGAGTCATGAACAGACCGTTATTAGAAATTTAAAAAGTAAAATGTAATTATTTAACAAGAAACTGAACTATCAGGAAAAAAAATAGTCACAGTAGGGAAAATCGGAGAAGTAGTTGTGGGTTCCCATCACATCTGGGAAAGGGAGTGCCCTGATTACAGTCCCCATCTCAGTGATGGATATGGATAAGAATATCAAATTAAACCTTGAGTCAGTACTCATTAATAAGATTTACTGATTCCCTTTTTAATGATTCCAGGTTCACCAAGGAACTCTGTGATTATAATTTTGTTTTGTTATGTGTTTTGTCCAATAGTTACTAAATATGGTGGTTATCAAACTGAGCATCATGCGTTTGCAGTATTTCCCATCATAAGCTAATAATGGGCATTCTTGGATATCTTATGCCGTTAGTGAGTGTGAATTACCCTCACCAATCCTGATATTACTGGCACTTTGGCGGAATAGTAGATAGTGTCTACATGAAAGGAAGCAAATATTATTATGTCTTTTTGGAAGGGCATGTAGGTGACATCATCCGTTCATTTATCATCAGTAAAAGAGCTAGGTGATAACAGAATATGTATATTTTTCCTATTCTTTTATTGTTTTTTGATGAAGTATTTCCTATGGCAATGGTTTTCAGACATTAGTTTCTACCACAATAATCCGAGGACATTTTAAAAATTCCTGAGTCTTACTCTCAGAGATTATAATACACTTGGTCTAGGGTAGAGCGCAGGAATCTGCATTTTTAAAAATCACCCTGTATGATTCTGAACCTGAGGAGTAGGGAACTATAACTTGAGCAGCACTGCTCTACAGAGGAGAATTTTTCCTTCTTTAAATAACCCTGTGATTTTTGAAGAGTTTGTTCACTGCTGGGCGACATTTTGTGGGTTTCTGTTAGGTTTCTGTTAACTGGCTGAATCGATAACCGTCATAACCAGTTCCAGGCCTCTGATTGGCCAGAACTGTGTATTCCGTTGAGGAAGTAGATGGCAGCTTTATAAGGATAACGGATTTGGGGCGGGGCTAGGGGAAGACAAAATGGCTGCCAGCCTCATGGCGCCAAGCACTCAAATGTGAAGAACAGAAAATAAAATCTTCTGGGGAGGTCTTCCCTGTTCAGTAGCAGAAACAAATAGGTAAGTGATGAAGCTGAGGAATAGCCTGGGAAAAGAGTATGCCCCTAGAATTGCCATCATTTCCCCATAGCCACCTCAAATAAGACAATCTAAGTAAAAATGTGTTTCCTATGAAGTGCAATTTTTTAAAGTGACTACAAGACCCAGACTGCTATCCCTGGAACTTCCCTGATGTAAAAACTTCGAGCTTCCTGAACAAATGATCAGTTATTTAATTGAGGATATGCAGTTAGAAAAGGATTCCGTAAATAACGGGAGGGGAAACTAAAAGCTGGAAGTTGCTTAAGAATGATAACTGACTACGGTTACAATCGGAAAGTGGCAGACCTGGGGTTTGAATTCATCACACTCCGAACTTGATATACCTCTCCTTTTGATTTTTCTAACTTTAGTGTACAGATGAATCACCTTGGGGCCATGTTGAAAATGTAAATTCATGACCAGTCTCCCCAAATTATGAGTTAGTAGGTCTTCTGTGAGTCAAAACCTATAATATTAACAAGTATCCAGATGACTCTGATGCAGGTGTCAGTGGACATTATTTGAGAAACTTTTTTTTCAGTGCAATTGTTCTGAAACTTTTTGGTCTCAGGATTGCCTTACACTATTACAAAATTACTGAAGACCTTAAGGAGCATGTGGTAAATGATATCTGATATATAATAGCTATTGATAAATGTGGTATTCAAACTAAAACTGAGAAATATTTAAATACTTAACTGATTTGAAAATGCCAAGAATAAGGCCATTACTAGAAACATTTTATTAAAACTCTGTATTTCAAATGAAAATATTTATGAGATTATATTTCAGATTTCTTTACTGCCCCAATAATAATTCATTAATTCTCATATCTGCTTCCGTATGCAGTTTGTTGTGAGATGATATTATGGCTTCACACAAATAATGTAGTCAGAAAAAGGAGAACCTTGGAGACTCCCATGGTCCTGGGATCACACTTCAAGTTCCTATCTCAGGGATACTGAGGAAAACAGAAAATGAATATTTCTTAGATTGTTTAGGGTGGGGAAAATTATTATGAGTTGTACTTTGTAAAAATCACCCAAATATCGCTCTTTCATTAATTTGCTTTGTTAAGTTTAAAGCACAATTGAATTATAAAATAGCAATGTAGGTATTGGGCAGAATTTTGTTTAAAAATATAGGGTTTTACAAGCACCAGATATATTCTCCAGCAAACTGGTATTAACTGAGTAGCACCTAAGTGGACACATAGGTACTACAGTAATAGGGTATTTGGCAGGTGGGAGGGGGGAGGGGGGCGTGTATATACAAACATAATGAGTGAGATGTGCACCATCTGGGGCATGGTCATGATGGAGACTCAGACTTTTGGGGGAAGGGGGGGAAATGGGCATTTATTGAAACCTTAAAATCTGTACCCCCATAATATGCCGAAATTAAAAAAATATATATATATAGGGTTTTAGATCAGTGATTATTGTGTTCTAATTGTTATTTTGAAATTAAAAAAAAATAGAGCTATATATTCTGTCCTTTGAATTTTAAGGAAATGTCCCTTTGTAGTCATTTGTAATGTGAGAAAATATGTAACTCATGTAAGTTCACCCAGCTTCAATAAATAACTGTGATATTTTTAACTATTTCATAGCCAGTATATTCACATCACATTCTCTTTTCTCTGTTTTAGAAATACATTTAAAAATTCACGTCAGGTTGGCAGGTTGCAGAAGGTAGTGATTGAGGCATTGATATATGTAAAACCAAGTAAGGCTCTTTAAAGCCATGCATAAATGCATGTGTTTTGAACTATGTTTTCTGGGAAAATAGTAAGGAACTCCCCTGGTATTTTTATTCCTATGCTTAAAGCCTTATCTTTTATAAGTTATTAGAAGCAGTGACAAGTATATCTTTGCACAACTAGATCCTAGGGAAATGTTGACAGATTTTAGATTGCAAATCAGTTTGTATGCATAGTGCATTGCCTCAAGAGGCATATCATGGTCCTATACCATAAAATATGTCTCTTTAGTTTAAAATGTAGACGAAATTATAAAGAATAAATGGAAGGTCCAATTTTATCATACTGTGAAAGTTTGAAATAATATTCCATTTGCATACTAATCAAATGTGAATGAAATGATTTTAGATGTTCTGTGCTGAACAACACACTGATTTAACAAGTTTAGTGACTGGAGGGATCTTGTCAAGGATTTCTACAAAATTCATGTTGCAAGACATTTGTTAAATGAAAACTGTGACTATGAACAGGGGATATGGGACAAATAATACTGTTTTGGGGTGTATTTTTATAGTAGTCATGTCACACACAGATGGAAAGAAACTAGTATTCAATTAGCTTTGATTCATGTAAGATGATCCCTTGAATAGAGGTACTGGAATTTTCAGGGCTGTATGACATTTTGGTTATATAATTTATAGCCATGTCTCACCACATCTAAACATAGCATTCTAGAGCAAAATCTTTTGTCAAGGGAGAATGAAGAAATTTGCTAGTGAGTATCCAAAGCATATCAAGTGCACTGACAAGAACCTTTTTGGCAAATGCTTATTTGAATTTAATACTCAGGTATATAATGTATTTCTACAGAGGATTTCCTAAAGCACTGACTCTGGCACTGTAGACACTATTGTTACTTTGTTCATGCCTTCTTAGCTAGTGCACAGTGCTTAAGGGACGAACCTTGTGAATTTAGTTCTTCTGAGGGCTTTTGCTCTTTTCTTTGGACTGTACTTAGCCTTTCAATTTCTTAAATGTGTGCAGGAGAAATCTATTCCCACTACTTGAGAAATAACCATAACATGCACTTTTTTGATGATGAGTCAATCATGCCACCCAGATGTCACATTTTGGTCAACATAGTGTTTTGTATACTGTCTCTAAATAATTCATATCTGTAGTCCAAGTGCCAAGTACTTAGTTCAAACTTAATACGTGATCGAATTAATTAAAGGCATTTAATATACTTCCTAACTCTATCTGCTGAGAGAGCTTAGAAACAAAAATATCCAAATAGCAATGAGCACATGTCAGTACCCAGGTCTTGTTTTCTAATGTCATTCTACACCGAAAGGAACCAGAGCTCTTTGTAGAAATGACTGATTCTAGGGCTAATGCAGGGGATATGCAAAATAATCCCAGAGTATCTTGTAAAAGCCAGAAAGTAAGAGTGTACTTAAGAAACAAAATGATGGAGTTATGTCAGAGGGACAGAGGAGCTAACTTAAAAAAGCTTCCAATGGCCAAAGCTGGAACAATTTAAGCAACAATATAAAGTAATATTTTGTCACCCAAAGTATAAAATCATTATTCATGAATCCATACTGATATACATATATTACTGAATAAATAAATTAATGGAGATGAATAGACAAATCTCTTGTATAGATGAATTACAAATAATTTATATATGCATTCTCCCAGCAAGGAGGTGGAACATAACTCCCCATTCCTTAAGTGTGGGCTGCACATAGTGACTTCCTTTCAAAGAGTACAGTATGGAAAAGTGGGAGAGTAATCTTACAGTGGAGAAAACTGATAAATACAAGCTCAGACTGGTGATCAAGGTTAACAACATTAGTGATAAGTTACATTAGTAGCGTGTACCCTCAATATGATATGATGAGGATGGTACTTGACCTCTGTGTTCTTTGTCCCCAAAACTTACATCCTAAGTCTAGCTATGATAAAAATATCACACCAACCCAAATTGAAGAAAATTATATATAATGATCAATCTTAAAAGCAGTCAACATCATCAGAAGCAAATTCTGATGAGCTGCCACTGTCTAGAGGAGCCTAGGAGACATGATGACTAAATGTAATATGGTGTCTTTAGATGGATTCTTGGGACAGAAAAAGGACGTTAGCTAAAAACTAAGGAGCTTTGAATAAAGAATGGACTTTAGTTAATAATAATGTGGTTTCAGTATTGATTCATTAATTGTGGCAGATGTTCCATATCAGTGTACGATATTAATCATAAGGGAAACTGGGTGGAGGGGATAAAGAATTGTCTGTATTATACTTCTAACTTTTCTGTAAATCTAAAACTATTTTAAATCAAGAGTTTGTTTAAAAATACATTTCACTTCCTTAGCATAAAATACAAACAATAATGATGATTTGTTTTTATGAATTTAAAATCAAAAATGTATTACTATATTAAAATAAATAAGAGGGTGAAGTGCTTGTTTCTTTAAAAAGAACACTTGACTAAAAATTTATTTGGAGCTTCTGCCCTCTCATAGCCATTCTTTTCTTTTTTATCACTTGCATCTATAGTATTTTGTTGCTGCTGTAAGCTTTCTGGTATCATCCTTAAGATGGTAGAGATTGATTCTTTATCATTTGATAATTCTGTAAAGGAAAGAAAACGGAAGCAGTATTTTAAATTTTATATGTTTTCCTTAGAATGATGAATGTTCCATGACACAAATATGCTGGAGGGAATTTACATGAGGAGAATGGTTTCAACACAGCCTAGTATTCATTCATTTCTCCTTCAGAAGAGTTGTGTTTACAACTAGAATAGGATGTGTTTATGCTGTTATTTTTTCTTTTTTTGGAAAAAGGATATCTATCATATTATACACCCTTACTAGAGCTAAGTGTTTCTAGGAAGTTGTGAAATGCCATTAAATTTTTTCATAATCTCTATTTCTTATTTGGCCTATGAATTAGATTGCACTATGGTGGTTCTCTATGTTATCATCTGTTGTGAAATGGCAAAACATATTGTGGTAATTAAAGGTATTAGTATATATGTGTAGTTATTATCATTTTATAATTTAATAGACCCATGGCTATCTTAAATACTTTAAGTAGCTTTCTAGGAAACATTTATTTCAGTAGCATGGTACTTAAACTTATATGAACTAGTATGAACAAAGAGCATTAAGGTTTTTTTAATAGGAGCCTCATCCAAATGCCCATACACTTGCATGAGAGTTAGATGTTTCAGATTAAGTCTCAGAGGATCTGCCAACTATTTTGA